TGGGTTGACTCAGAAAGGAAAACTGAATATAGATGAATAAATAAATACATTTTATGTAATTATAAATAATTTGTATTACCATCATTGCATTATTATCATCGTAATTACATTTATGTAATATTAGCTATTATGACACTGGTCTAGGATCAGGATGTAACATAAATATTTCTTACAATAAATGACAAATAAAATCAAAAAGTGCAACTTCATCAAGAGAGCAAGTAAGGGCACCAATACTGACTTATTAATACTTGCCAATATGATATTTCAAGCATTTTAGATGTGCAGGCTGTTTAGGAAGATGAATGTCTCTGCAAGATAAGAAATGTATTTAAAATCACATGATACGGTTTAATTATTATTATTTTATTGCTTTTTAAGGGGCGGCTCCTTTAGACTCGTAAGGAAACGGTCACTGTTATGATTAGCCTTGTCGCTTTTCCACCCTCGGGCCGAAGTGTTCTCCTTGCTTAACCGTTCTGTTGGTGGTTTCGTTTCCACTGTTGGTCTGATAATTATGGAGGCGGTCCAATGCAACATTTTGATGCCAAAAGTTGCAGCTGTGGAAACCGAGTTGTTTGAACAGCTTGGTTTCAACAAAAGCTATTTCTGCTGTGATGAGGAATTGTTGCATTCTGCAAAATTACAGTATGTTTTATAGTAGATGTCAAGAGATCAAACGAAAATTTGATTCTTCGTGTCATTACCGTTTTTAAGAGAAGCTTCCCATATTTAAGACATGTTAACTGTTAATCTTAAATATCTGGATATCAGCATATGAAATATTTAGTCTTGTTCTCTTTGTGTAACTGAACCTTCAATCCTGTTGATTTCTTCTGTGATTCTGTGTTTTAGAATCGTGCTGGAGACCTTTCCCCTAATCAGACTGAAGCTCTGCTGATGAATGAGACGTCCTCTAATCAGTCTGAGACTCATGCTGCCAATGAGACGTCATAGTAACATTATTATTTTGATTGTTTCATTGAAAGAGAAGATTGGAAATGAGAGAATAGCATCAGCTGAAACTCACAACACTCAGAAACACAATACCATGATTTCAGTATTACTGAGATTTCACCTAATACAAACTAGTTTACAATATCATTTATAATTTATAATTCAGTTAAGCGATTTAAATAATACATTAAAGAGTTGAATCTATATTTAAATACCGTAGGTGTTGCTTCAGAAATACAAATAATTAGCAAAAAAGTAATTTAAAAAAACATGTTAGCAGCAATAGTGCTTGATGTTTTTCAGTATAAAGACGGTTCATTTAGAAATGAATGTGAAACAAGCAGTGGTGGAAAGAGTACTGAAAAAATATACTCAAGTAAAAGTACCATTACCTTCCAAAAAATGTAGTGTGAGTAGAGTAAAGGTACTTGTCCAAAAAACTACTTGAGTAAGAGTAAAAGAGTAGCGACATGTACTAATTGTTACAATCTGTCTTCTGGTCAACGACAAAAACGAACAGACGGTTGTAATTTGTAAACAGTTTGAGCGTCAATCCAGTCACTGTAAAGTCCAGTGACGGTATAAAAATCTCACCTAAAAACAAAATGGCACCATACCGTGGGTAGATGCTGAAATATATTAAATGTATTGAGTCACTTTAGATAAAACTTCTGACAACTGCAAAATAAATTAATTAATTTAAAAATGGAAATTAAATGTAAACAGCAGGACTAAAAATAAGATAAGAAAAATAAATAAATAAAATTATAAGAAAAATAAATAAAATGTTTATTTAGTAGGCTGCTGTCCTGAATATGTCACGGTTCTGCTCTGCAGTCTTGTTTCATATTTGTTGGGTGTGTCACGTGGCTTTGTCTTTGTTTATGTTGGCCATGTGCTCCTCAGGGCCTGTTTTTCCCTTTACCACACCCTCTTGTTTAGTCTTTGCCCAGTCCTCCTGTTCTGTTGATTGTTTCTTATAGTGATAGGAATCTAAATGATTCACTGTTTCAAAGCGCTTGCCGCATGCTAAAACAGGTCAAAACAGTGTAACTACAACAAAAACTCAGCTCAAACATGCATAAAACCAGCTTTTACAAACTCGTTGCAAATAATTTATTTAAAGTATAATCTATCAAATGATCATCTAATCCATCTAATACCATAATATTTGTTCTTTTAGCAATTTGTAGGGTTTGTTTGGTTTGTTCTATGGATGGCTCAGCTGAACAGGCCTGTAAGAGATTATAAACTACTATTATCCCTTTTAATTATAATGTCTCATTAAAACGGCTACAAATGTATAAAACCGATCTGAGATCAGGAAAAAACTATAGATGTCTGTTCACAGACGTTGTTCTGAGCTCAGTGAATTTGCATGATTCATGGCTTCACAGAGATCATGGCCTCCCCCCCTATGGTGAACCATATCATTTTTTTTTGTAATTTATTTATTGAAACTGTGGTTGACCATTACAATCAATTTGAGCAATTTAGTCCACATATACAAGAAAGAAAAGCAATCTGTAAGACAGCATTAAGAGAAGAAAAATGGAAAAGTCTGTGACAGACACAGTATTAAGATTAGTGTATGTAAACTTTTGAACTGCTTCATTTGTGTATACATTTTTTTTTTGTCTTGTCTATATGTAAACATTTGTTATGTGAAGTTGCTTATTCAGGACAGTACTATATATATATATATATATATAAAAATCTCACCTAAAAACAAAATGGCACCATACCGTGGGTAGATGCTGAAATATATTAAATGTATTGAGTCACTTTAGATAAAACTTCTGACAACTGCAAAATAAATTAATTAATTTAAAAATGGAAATTAAATGTAAACAGCAGGACTAAAAATAAGATAAGAAAAATAAATAAATAAAATTATAAGAAAAATAAATAAAATGTTTATTTAGTAGGCTGCTGTCCTGAATATGTCACGGTTCTGCTCTGCAGTCTTGTTTCATATTTGTTGGGTGTGTCACGTGGCTTTGTCTTTGTTTATGTTGGCCATGTGCTCCTCAGGGCCTGTTTTTCCCTTTACCACACCCTCTTGTTTAGTCTTTGCCCAGTCCTCCTGTTCTGTTGATTGTTTCTTATAGTGATAGGAATCTAAATGATTCACTGTTTCAAAGCGCATGCCGCATGCTAGCGACACCTGCTGGTCAAAACAGTGTAACTACAACAAAAACTCAGCTCAAACATGCATAAAACCAGCTTTTACAAACTCGTTGCAAATAATTTATTTAAAGTATAATCTATCAAATGATCATCTAATCCATCTAATAGCCTGTTTTTCCCTTTACCACACCCTCTTGTTTAGTCTTTGCCCAGTCCTCCTGTTCTGTTGATTGTTTCTTATAGTGATAGGAATCTAAATGATTCACTGTTTCAAAGCGCTTGCCGCATGCTAAAACAGGTCAAAACAGTGTAACTACAACAAAAACTCAGCTCAAACATGCATAAAACCAGCTTTTACAAACTCGTTGCAAATAATTTATTTAAAGTATAATCTATCAAATGATCATCTAATCCATCTAATACCATAATATTTGTTCTTTTAGCAATTTGTAGGGTTTGTTTGGTTTGTTCTATGGATGGCTCAGCTGAACAGGCCTGTAAGAGATTATAAACTACTATTATCCCTTTTAATTATAATGTCTCATTAAAACGGCTACAAATGTATAAAACCGATCTGAGATCAGGAAAAAACTATAGATGTCTGTTCACAGACGTTGTTCTGAGCTCAGTGAATTTGCATGATTCATGGCTTCACAGAGATCATGGCCCCCCCCCCAATGGTGAACCATATCATTTTTTTTGTAATTTATTTATTGAAACTGTGGTTGACCATTACAATCAATTTGAGCAATTTAGTCCACATATACAAGAAAGAAAAGCAATCTGTAAGACAGCATTAAGAGAAGAAAAATGGAAAAGTCTGTGACAGACACAGTATTAAGATTAGTGTATGTAAACTTTTGAACTGCTTCATTTGTGTATACATTTTTTTTTTGTCTTGTCTATATGTAAACATTTGTTATGTGAAGTTGCTTATTCAGGACAGTACTATATATATATATATATATATATATATATATTTA